GTAAATCGGTAAACAAAAGTATATACCTTTTAACAATATATAGAGCATATAAATATTGCAGTGTGATCTAAATTTTATAAAATACTATCGAATTACTGAAATACTTACAAGGGAAACGTATTGCTCCTACGAAGAAAAAGAAATGGTATTGCTCCCAGAAGAGAAAGAAATGGTAGGTGATCGGATATGCATTTTACACATGCGCGTGGCTAATCAACATGCCGTTTTTTCATGAGAACTAAAAGTTTATTGGCTCTTGCGTTGTTTCTTTCGCGCAATAAGCGTTCATTAACAAGAGGTCGTTCAATCGATATCCGTTTCTTTGTTAAAGGATTGAGTATCTTTTCGATGTTTCTAAATTAGTTTAATAAGCATCAATACTGTTTTTCATTCAATGTTACTAGAGTTTGTCTCAAGGCTGCCTTCCAAAATCCTGCTCGACGGGTAGACTAATATCTAATTGACCAATCAGAACAAAAAGAACAAAGATTTCTTTACATTGATTGGTTAATTAATATTACTTCACCTGTCGAATAGGGTTTTGGAACGCAGCTTATGTCTAATTTCCGTCTGTTCAAGATTTTCTGGTCGATTCGAAAGGTCAGTGAAAGTACTAGCACCATAGAGATAACTAGCACTCGGTTTGCATCTTTAAAAATTAGACAGCTTATTTATTTTGAAATACGTTAAAATATAACACAAATGAATATTCAGTATAAGTATGTATTTTATTTGCTAAGCAGATTTATAAAACATAAGATAAACATAAAGTTCATGTTATTTTTTTGTGAAAATGAGTGAAAAAAATTGTAGCTTTTATTCATTTTCTATAATATGAATATAAGATTATATCTGTGCAAATTTATAAACTGAACTTACGAAAATGTAAAAAATTTAAAAACAAAGCACAATTTGGGTAAATATTTAGGATGTAAACTTTATTATAGATTTCAATGGAACTGTTCTCGTACAATGCTCCTTAAAATGTAGGACATAATTTTTTAAATGAAAATGATAACAATTATTTGCCAAATTTTGTTCTCTGTGTATATAATCTGCATAATCTAAATTCTATTGTGAAAATATATATCATAATCTTAAATCTATTGTGAAAATATATATCATTATCCATTTAATTCTTATAGGACGATGCATCCTGTGAAATACTTGCAAGATCATTTTATAAGCATTTTCTACATATTAATATCTGAACAAATAGTTTTCATAATATCAACCAATTTTTTAACAGAGAAAATCTGATATTTGTAGGTGCAAGATATTCGACCGGACGGTAGAAAATTTCTGTCTTTTCGACCAATAAATATTAATATTTCGTCAATTGTTCAGGCTGATGGTTCTATATTAAAGTTGGATAATACAATTATGGTCTGCGGCATTAAAGCTCCATAGCATCATTTTTACGAAAGTTATAGCTTATTGAATTATGTTTTTAATTATAAGGGATAGTACGTCTGGCCAACCCTTGAGTCATACTACTTGAGAAATAGAAGTACCTCTGACTCCATCGTTTAGTCATATCACGACCTCAGGCGAAAGATTTATGCGTGATTTGAAGGAAAACACGAGTATAACTTAGTTTCTCGTTAAGTTTAATGGCGGCTTGTAATGAAGATTCCGGAACTAAATTACGGAAATAACAGGTCTGATAAACCCGTTATTTCTGTAATGGATATATTATTAATGTGACGGGTTTACGGAATAATTAGAATGGTTTATTTTCCTGCAGGAAACTTGTTCGATAATAAGTCTGTCTTTTTTAGCTGAACTAGATTACATTTTTTATGTCAGGGTGAAACAAATATATATAACTTAGCGTTGGAAGAGAAAAAGAAGGAAATTTCAGTGCAGCACTAGTTGCACTAGTTCAATTAAGAGGAATAAGCCTAATCTTTCATGCGCATACGTGAAGTATCTAGTCATTTACCATTTCTTCCTTTTCTGCCGTGCCTGTAGGAACGGTTTCTCTATAACTATAATATAACTTTTGTAAAAATGATTCTATGGAGATCGTTTAAGAAGTACTTTAAAGTTTCAAGTCTCTAGTTTCTAATTATATTTGCTATATTAATGTTATTGTTAATTTTAGCCAAGATATTTCGAATTAAACGAGAAATGGCGACCGCTTAATTTCAAACTTCATCTTTCAGTTGCGTTTTCAGGACGGAAAATTATTTGATTTGAAAATGTGATATAGGAGTTTTAAAGAAAAAACTTTAAACTTTTTACGTATTTGTTCATGAATGTTTGTATATACGTACGCTTCATACACTTCGATGCATATGTAAATTTCTTGTAAATTTAAATGTTGGAATTTGGCCTAAGAGATATGGCCTAAAAGAGATGGCCGTAGATTCGATCTTGTTTTAGTCAGATAGACAAAAATAAAATTTCATAACTAACTTACGTTTATACTTGTATAATAATAATAAAAGGATAGTAAAACATTTAACTTAAAATATATAAGTATACTGAGAGAAAGGGTGGGAAGGAGGGAGGGAGGAAGGGGGGAGAGGAGGGGGGACAGGGAGATATATATATAACAGGGTATTATGTATATATATATATTTACTTAATTTGACTACATTTTGTAACTTCTTTTTTTTTCTATCTTATTTTCGCTCTCTAACTTTTACAAAAGCTTTTAACCTACTGGCTGCTGATGTCTCACATGTGAAACATAAGTTCACAACGTTGGTTAATTATTTACTTCAGCCTTGGAGAGAACATATTTGGCTTCGCGAGACCAGCAGTTAACAAGTTAATCAAGAAAAAAGCAACTATACATTATCAATTTAAATTAATCAATTGAGAATATCGGCCGTGAACGCTACAATATAAGAGACATGTAGAACAACTGAATAAATCTAATGCAATTCAACATCTGTTATTTATCGATCATGCTGATAGCAGTTGTATATATCAATAAATAAAGTATAAAGTATATATATTTACTATATCTATACTATCTTATTATACTAACTATTACTATATTAACTATACTACTACTATATACTATATCTATACTATCTTACTATACTAACTATACTTACCATAATATATATTATATAGCTATAAAAATATACAGAGTGTACAAATATTGTAATTCGACTTAGAATCTAGAAAATAATATCGAAATATTGAAGTAATTACAAAAATAACTTAGTTTTCCTACTGCTATGAAAGAAGAAATAGTAGATGAGCCCGAATATGTTTTTCACAAATGCGACATTTAAGCTTTTTATTTTTAGCTGAACTAATGCTGTACTGAACTAAACGGTATAAAACTAACGGATGATAATTAATTCACGGCGATAGTGGACCTTAGCTGTCCCATTAGCTTGTAACATTCTACAAGGCGCTTTTGGTCCCCTATGCGTTCGAGCGTTTTAACGGCTTCAGCGAGCATGCCTTCACGTTCGCCAGGCGACACTGACAGCAGTGTCGGCAAATACCTACAAGTCAGATACAATGCGACTGCGTGCTCCCTTTCGCCGTTACTCTGCTCCTGCGATCGATCCTTGCCGCAGATGATAGAGGAGCGCGAATTCCGGTGATGTGAACTCCGATCAAGTAAGATCTGGGTCTTCACTGGTGTCGCGCCGGCCATAATGCGTGCTGTAGCCTCGTACAAAAATACCCGTGCCAGTACAGACTGAAAAAGTATGTTAAAAATATATACATACATAAGGATATATTTGATATACATTCCGGCTTGCTTGTTAATTAATTTATATTTTAGAAAATTAATTTTTGTTATTGATATTACTTCACCGTATAATTTGTCACCAGAAATCACCAAATATTTGTTATTTTCAACTTTGAGTGATATAAGTTATAAACTATTGTTACCGAATCTCACACACAAACGGGTAAAAAATAAGAAAATTTATATCTTAATTTATATCTTCTTTTACTTCGATTATTATTGACAATATAGAAACAATCAATTTTTTAATTAGAACATTATTCTTTCCAATGTATTTATGATTTTCACGGCAAACTATTTACGATTTATCATCTACTTACTGGAATATGTTGACACAATTGTCTTAAGCATGCCAAGTCACGTTGAAAACTCGCGAGTGATACGTTCGCGACTGATCTGTCTAATTCCGCATCAAAGTCTTGCCATAGTGCCGTGCGTAATTCTAGGAGCCAGTCACAGACCCATAACTGAATAAGCTGGAAAAATGAGAAGAAGAATGAGATTAATATGGTGAATAGTGAGATTTACATGCATGTACATATAAGCATACACAGAGGCGAAGACAAAATTATCTGTACGATGCTGCGACCTGCCACAGGAGTTGCACTGTAGAAGTATTGCATAGTTATATTTCATGCAATGCAACTACAATGCACACTTGTAACAGATAGACAATTAATTTCAACAGTTAATTTAATTCTTCTTCTTTATAGAAAACTTCGAAGCTTTCCAATAAGTTTTAAGTTATAAGCGATCAAAAATGCAGATTTTCTGAGAAGTGGTCTTTGCTAATAAATAACGAAAGTTTACTATTCAAACATTAATTTTAATAAAATTTCGAGGTTAATTCAAATTCAGTTTGATCACTGAGAGAATCTTGCCGTTAAATTCCATTAAATCTTCGAGAAGAAAATATCGATTTAAAATTAGTTAAAATTCTAAATAAAATTAAATGATTTTTGGATTTTTCTTAATAGTTTACTGATTTGAAATATATAAAGTTTGAAATTTTACGCAAGGCTGCATTTTTATGCTGTTACTTCAACTCGATGCTGACGTTTGACGGAATCATACAATGTTGGCAGGTCGTATCTATAACGAAGATCTACTATAAAGTATTCGAATGACTCACTAAGATCTGCTGCGACGATTGTTCTTTGCAGTGATAATACACCATCGACTGTTCGAGCAATAATCCAGCCTGGTCGATAAAACGCATGGAGGCTAACTTTGACGAATGTTTCGCCGCCTGCAAAACGTTGAGTACCGCGTGCGGCAGCGGGCTGATTCTACTGTTGCTGTCGCCGATTTGGAAATTTCTTTTGTAAGGAAATTTACGCTCCACAACGCTCCAAGCTTCGGAGTTCTCTTCACCTAATCTCCAACTCGCAGCAACGCACATTACTGCTCCCCACCATAATCCTACCTCATCTTCACACGCTGCAACATGAAAATAGAACAGACAACGTTATAGAATAGATAAATTTTCAGTTATAAAAGTTTTAAAATTTGCATTCACTTTGAAACGACGCACATTGTGTCGGTCGTTGATCGGTTAACTGATATTTTAACGATTCAAGTTCTTATATATATATATATATAAGATTTTTTCTTTTAATTTTATCTAAAGGATATATTATAATGTATACAATATTATGAGATATTGCATAGAACTTCTCCTTTTAATCGATATGTAAAAAGTGTAACATCTTCCCTATATCGATTTTTCCTTTATTTCTCAAATAAAGCATGCAGACTTACTTGCTACGCTAACTTGGTCGGTACTTGGGAAACAGGCGTCCACTTCGGCAGAGGCCATGATAATTTGTCCTAGCTCGAGAACGGAGGATGCGTGACATTCTCCGGCCGTACCGGTCAGTAAACGTAGGCATTGCCCAAACAGGTGATCCCTGTACGCGCGAGCCACGTACGACACAGGATCCGCTCTGCTGCTCTGCGACGTGAATTCGCTCTCGTGTCGTTGATTCTTATACCGCCATTTGTGAGACGCCAAGAATCTTGCCCCTTCGTCGTTCATGATCCATTTCAATTTCGGCGGTACGGTGCACGAGGACAAGAGAGCACGCGCCTTACCCAAGTAATATTTGTGTATGTACGGGAAGAAGGATTGTTTAAGACATAACGCGGTATTCACGTATATCTCTGCTAAAAGGGGCTTTGGCATACTCTCGCCGGCAGCCTCCGCGTAATTGAGCGCGCATAGGGCAAAGTACAGATTTGTGCTTCTCGTTCCTTCGGACAGACGAAGGCAGAGCGTGTATTGGTAGACGATAGCTATTTCCATAGCGGACATCTCCACCTGTTGCCGTCCGGACTTGTCCGACAGCCACTTGTTGATATGCATCACCCATCTACCCAGCCACAACTTGTGAAGCACTTGTTTCACTATCTGCCATACAGTGGCTAGACAGATCTCTGTTCGTGACAATGGAAAAGACCGGCCGAAGTACTGCAGGCATTGATGCAAGTCTCGATACGCTTGATTATATTCGTGCTTAGAGATGTTAAATTCGGCCTGACGTCTCCAACGACGTAATTCGAGGAAGGCCTTGCTGTCCGTGGGTAAGATGGGGTCGCTGTACGGCAGTAATTTACAAAGACCACCTGCCAGAAGTATCAAATTGGTAAACCAGAGAATGACGTTGCTCCATAATAGTCTGTCCGATTCCGATTGATCTGCCGAAACAAAAATTAGGAATCAAAATTAATTCATCGAAATAGAAAATATGCGATTTTCATTCAACAGACATCTATAATCGCTTAGATAAACTTGTTCAAGTTCTAGGAAAGGTTTAATTTGCATACCTTGATAATTCAATATTGTCCGTCCATCCAATTTCGTATTTAGGTAATCGTAATTGAATTTTCCAACATTATTCATGATTATACCGAGAGGATTGAACGCTAAGAACAGCAACATGAATCCACACAACGTCAGTCGCGTGTGATCCCTCATGCTTCCATTGGACGACGCGGCCATGGGATGTAGATTCTGCAACGCATCCGGATCGTCCTTTACGGACGACGGAGAAGGTGGTGATAGTGGCGCGGGTGCGGGTGAGAGTGACGGCTCGCTGGAGTCTGAACGTGGAGGCGTCAGTTCTCCGCACGTCAGTAAATCACGGAGATTTTGCCGTTGAGCTGCCATTTTCAGTGACATGTTTTCAGCTTTTAATTTTGCATTGGCGTTTTGCAGGAATCTACAGCAAGAAATACGAAGCTATTTCTACCAATGTATACTTCACACATAATGAAAGTTAAAATTTCACTCCCGACCTGATATAATCGATAGTTTTCCGTAAGATTGCCGATTTATTTAACTTAGCGTCAACGCCGACTATGATGTTTTTCAATTCGATAATTTTGTCGTTGATCGATGTTCTGTAACGTCGCTCGATAGCGTTGTGAGCGCTGCGTTTCACCTCTCTCACCCTTGGCACTCCCACGTGAGTGCCTGTGTTTATACGGTTAATTTGTACCTTTTCAGTATCAAGCACCACAGGAATCCCTGGAATCAAACAGGATTATGTAACAATAATGTACATTTTAACAGGAATTCTATGTTTTGTGCACAGGTGTATGTGTGTATGTATAGTATATATATAATTGGTTTCAAAACAAACATTTTTTTTTATGTAGTTTGGAATGCAGCCAATAATCCAATGAGAGAACTTAACTTCTGGGAATTAATAAAAAAAGAAACAAGCTCTCTGTTAAAACCATTTTGACACCAAATATACACATGTTATCAATATTAAATATTTAATAGTTAAATATTTTTATGTACCAGTAGCTAAAACTGTCCCATTTGCGGTATTCACCAGAGTACGTATCTGAGGTACAGAAGTCGTAACAGCCTGTGTGCCTCTTGAATATACAAGAGACTCTGATTTTATTATTTTGGCTGGTAGAATCAGCTGTCTTTGCTGGGGAACTGGAGCCAGAGTTACAACAGGTGACTGCACGTTAAAACTTACATTTTGAGGTATAGTATATTGTGAGTTAAAGACTGTAGGTGTTGAAGCCACTGATATTCTCTGTGGCCTGTTTTGTACAGATGTAATATCTTGTTGTACACAAGTGATTGGTTGACTATTATCTGTCACTGGCTGTGTTATCATAACATTCGTATTTGATGGTTCAAGAATACTTGAATCCTTGAAATCTTTAAAATCCTTGAACTCATCGGTATTGTTGAGGTTCAAGAAATCAAATGTATCCGTATCCATTGGTATAGGTTCTTCCAATTCAGAAAGTAAAGTCTCGTCACTGAATAAATTTTCATTTTTCAATAATTCACTTTCACAGTTAGTAAGAAGATCTGCAATATCATATATTACAAATGATTATTATAAATTAGGTCTAATTGTTTCTTGTTAACATTAGAAATGTTTAAATTTTTCCAACATGACCGTCTGTAACTGTGAAAAAGAAAAGGAATCATTCTATATATAGGTTCTCAGATTCTACATATAGATATTAAAGTAGCATAAAATATGAAAAGTCACATATAAATAAATATTCTAGTCAATATTATACTACTCTATATATAGTGGAATATAATTTTATAGATTAGTATAAAATTATGATTTAATTTTACAAGTGATTACTCGAAACAATTCTTATATTACTACAATACAGGAACATTTTAGTTCGACAACAGACAAGCAAATAGACAGACAAAAAAGTAAGCAGGCAACAAAATAATAAGTTAATAAATAAATAATAAATATGCAAATAGAGATAAATAAGTGAAAGTAAGAAAGAGATAAATAAGTGAAGTAAGGTGAGATAAGATGAAATGAGATGTCTGTGAGTAATAAAATGTCGAGCTGAGAAACAATAGGAAAACGAAATGTTTTAAAATATATGACAAGTTTTATTCGAAGTGCAAAGTAACAGTATTTATTGAAAAAAGCATCGTGTCAACACGTACCATCGATGCCAGTGACTTCGTTCAAATTAAAGCTGTCATTGGATTGGAAATTCGTAAAATCATTCTCTTGATTCGGCACCCATCCTCCTGGGTCTGCCATTATACTGATCACTATTTTAAATATTTATTCACATGAAATAAACGTGCCAATCGGCCGCGACACTTTGTTCAACATCGATATGTCAAACGCAATAGCTAAAAAATTACAAACGATCACCCGACTCGTGGGTGACCAATCCGAACGCTACTACAGATCGGATGATGTTACGTCATCTTTGTGCGTTATCGAACTCGATAAAATTAACCTACGTTCGGATCTAGAAAAAGTGTAGTAAGTTTTAAGCCGTAAGAAATTGACCAATCACAGTTGAATATTCTTGTATAATTTGACTGTGATTAGTTAATTTCTTACGGCTTGAAGCTCACCTATTGTAGATCCGGACCACCGCTATGTTTGCAGAAATCTGTCAGGCCACTAACGACTGCGCTCGACAAAAAGAAGCAATTAATAAGAGATTAATTTTCACAATGTCTGATTGGTGTTTATATTTGTCGATTTTGACTATAAAACATACATCAATTATATTTATTAAACTATGCTACGTTCAGAACGCCACGTTGGGAGTAGAATTTTATTTAATTGACCAATAAGGATAAAAGAACTAAGATTTTTTTATCGCGATTGGTCGATTAAATGCCACTCTATCCTCAGTGTACTCCCGAACGCAGCTCTATTTATGGCTACTTACTTTTTTTCGATGAGTAACACACTTTATATTTAAAAGGAAAATATATTTCTTAAAAATTACTAAAAAATGAATTGATAGTCGAATGTAAAGAGAATAATTAACTGTGATTGGTAAATTTCTTAAAATACCTATTGTAGACCGACATTTATGTTTTCGGCATAAGTTAACGGTTTACGGCTTGCATAAATCAGCCTTAAGAAATTGACCAATCACAGTCGAATGTGAGAAGAATAATCGATTGTGATTGATCAATTTGTTATGACTTACAGCAAGATTGTGGAGCAGGGTTACTGTTTTGGAAATTTTTGTCTTCCTGCGAATAGGTTATGTATCGCTCTCAGCGGTGCGGGTAGCAGCACCGATAGTCAATTTTGAATGCATCCGGAGCCGGCGTGGCGCCGCGCGGCGATTCGCAATACAACAGCCGGGATTTCAAATTTTGTATTGGACAAAGGTTAGTCGTCCATTCGGTGTTCGCGGCTATCGTTCCTGTTGGAGTACGTCGCGGAATACTGCGAATTGTGAGACGCGAATTCGATCTTGAATGATACTGGTCGTAGCTGATGGTTCCAATATAGCGTTCAACGATCACCCCGCGCGCCGCGGCCCCTGCGACATCGTGCGAGTCTGACAGCGTACACGAATGAAGGGCAGCGTCTTTCTGCGGATAATCAGTCGGGCCAAACAAGTGGTTTCGCGTCGATACATAAGCCTGACTACCATGGCGAAAAGTAAGTTCGAATACGTGAAGGAGTTTGAACGGGACGACCATTGTTTGCCGAATTGCTGGATTGTGGTTAGAATTGATGGCAGGAATTTCTCGAGATTCTGCGAGACGCATCAATTCGTCAAGCCGAACGATGTAGCGGCTTTGGAGCTGATGAATCGTGCCGCGATCACCGTTATGGAAGACTTTAAGGAGGTTATACTGGGCTTCGGCCAGAGCGACGAGTACTCGTTCGTTTTCCGGAAGGACACGGAGCTCTACAAACGCAGAGGTACTCGTGCACGTATAGCGTCGTGTGAAATTGCTTAATTCATAACAGTCTGAATTCAGAGTTAAAAAGCTTCTCATTCGATATTGTGTAATTGTAGACGTAATGTTTACAATTTTTCATATGATTGAAAACAATTTTATTTTCCAAGAATTGATTAGTTCGGGATGATTAGCCATACTATATTCTTCTACTCAAATATTATAGTGAAATGTTACATGATAACATTGTAATTTTACAAGTTTAATTGCTGTTTAATCTCATGTATCTATACATGCATCTCATGTATCTGTACATGCACCTTCCATATTTAATGTCTTTGTACTTGTTTCAGTATTTAAACTAATGTCAAATGTAAATTCTCTATTTACTTCGGCATATGTCTATCATTGGCCACGCTTCTTTGGAAGCAAAGAATTATATTATCCACCTTCGTTCGATGCTCGTGTTGTGTTATATCCAACGGATAAGAATTTGAGAGACTACCTTGCTTGGCGACAGGCTGACGTACATATCAATAACTTGTACAATACTTGTTTCTGGAATCTCATATTGAAAGGAAAATTAACTCCAAATCAGGTAAACTTGTTCAGTAATACTTCTTGGTATGCTATAGAGCTTGACAATTATTATATGTATCTTGTTTATTGTACTTTTACATAAGTTTATTTCTGCACACTTTATTTAAAACTTTCTGTTCTCTTTATTTTTTTTTCTCGATGTTAATATGAAATAAGCAAGAAGACTATTACAGGCGGAAGAGAAACTTAGGGGAACTCTTTCATCGCACAAAAATGAGCTGCTTTTCCAAGAGTTCGGTATAAACTACAACAATGAACCACCACTGTTTCGGAAAGGTACAACGCTTATTCGAAAATTAGTGCCTGATGGCACAGGAAGATTGAAACCCGCTGTGGTCCCTTTGGTAGATGATATCATCAATGATCGTTTTTGGAAAGAAAACCCTGAAGTGATTGGTTTGAAGAGTCTAGCGACTTATCAGCCGCTGAACTTGCCGAATAATATTAAAAATACCATGCCTGTACCGACACCTCCATCGCCCACCGTAAATATAAAACATGTAAACAATGTTCCACCACCACCGCCGCCCACACAAACGATTAACGCAAATTCGATGAACGAGGAAGTGCATTCTAAAAGAAACAGAGAGACGGACGGAGATAGAATGCAGTGCGACAGTGAACGCATTTGTAGGAGATAAGTGTACCTTTTTTTTTCTCCCCCTCCCACAAAAGATGAAACTGAAGTGAGAAACTGTAAGGTAATTATATTTATATCTATATTATATACACTACAGGTATAAATATTATGATGAATATATGATAGACTACCGATAGTAATATAATAAATTTGAAAAATAATAAAATAGTAATATGTAACAAAACTTTAGGTTTGTTTTCTATTCCTGCATTGCACTAATTCAAGAAATATGCATTGAAGCAGTTTCTGCTCCAGACCTGGTGTTAAAATGCTGTTTTCTGTCCCAGTGTAGCGGAACTCGATGCAAGAGTTCTGACTGAACTGGCTGCACCAGATTTGGAGCCAGTGCAAGAACAGAAAGTGTTGTTCCACAGCATTTTCGAGTAAAAGTGCAAGAAACATCAAACAGCTTGTATAGTTATGTCATTAAATTATTGTTCTTTCACTCTAATGTTCACGATACACATGGACGTGCGAATAAGTGTCCAAAGTTACGTTTTATTACTTCTATTTTGAAGTTTACACGTTTAGAGCCTGCATTCTGAACGCGCTTACAACGTATGTTAGTGTAGTTGATAAGTCAACTTAGTAGTTCTGAAAAGGAATTTTGTTACAAACGCGTGATACCGGTTTTTCCTAACAGAGCACTGTTATCACCATGTTTAAAATACGAGCGATAGAATGCTCATATCTCTTGTTGGCGCACTAATATCATTGTATGTACATTCGGAATACAGGCCATTTACTATATAGCTATCAAAAATTAAATAGTAAATATGAAAGTAGGAGCTTTCCTTGACATTGAAAAGACTTGACAATATATATTTTAATGTACGTAGCATTTAACATTCAGATATACAAGTTAGAGCTGTTGCTAGTTATTGTTGAAAATAACTTCAATTCTACAGATATAATGTAACACACCATGTTATTCTTGCAATAAAATGTTTTTTATTAGTTTGCACACTTACACTCGTCAATTCTGGCTTGCACTAGTTCATTTCAATTCTAGTGCAGTCTTAGTACAGGAATAGAAAACAAACTTTTTGGATAAAAAGCAACTTTAGTAAACAAATAAAATGCTACAGTGAAAGAAAAAATTCCTTTTAATCTTCGTGAGAAAAATAAATATGTAGTAAATACATATTTACAAAATAGACATAAATATTAGATAAGTTAAAGTAGAGCCGTTGGTAGACTCAATATAGAACTAAAGTAATGATAAGTTATTTCACACGCGGGCAAAAATGTATTTTGATGTATGCGGAAAGATAATCTTGTCCTTGCTAGAATTGCGCGAAACAACCTTCGTAAGAACAATTTTTACTATAAGTTTTTTCCTGGCTCTAGCTTAATGCCAAAAAAAAGAGAAAGATGAGAAAGGTTAACGATAATATATACTGTTGCATATGAAGTTTGACAATTGCATTGTTAATCATATGGAATGCTGTATATTTTTATTACTTTATATTACAATTTTCGAATTAGTAATTACAACGTGAAGTAATACGTGACAATGAATTGCATTGGCGATTACAATAAAATACACTATGTACACAAATTCTACTGCACTATTTTTGACACTCTCGCTGCGTCATTCTGATTAATGACTTGGAGGATTTTTTTTTAGCGTTTCAAATTTTTATTGTGTATTTCTCCGCATTTGACGTCATTGATCAAGATAGCCACGGCGAGGGAACTTTAAACTCTGGTAATATGCGTGACAATAACAATTCTAAATAATTCTCGACATATGCGTGCATATCGATATATAATACTTGTATATGGTATTTAAAATGATTTAAAATATGTAACAAACCTCCGTAGGAGTGTTATTTTTTAAACAGTTTTGAAGAACAACTGACAGATTAATTCAACTGATATAATTTTGTGTTGTATCTCGGATCTCGAAGGAATAATCGACCGCTCGAAAGTGGATTACGGATCATGATCAACTGGTTTATTCTAAACGTTATTGTATTGCGAAAGTAAATATAGATGACTGACATTGCTGGTTCGATCGTATAATTTAAAATATAGGGATGTAATTATCTATTTTAGCACGATGCTTTTGAGCTACGCATTCTGCGATCCATACAATATTACGGCATTCTTGCTCTTTCAATTTGAGGTAGCTGTAGAATACCCCAAAGTGGAATTGTTGAAGAAACGCATGAACGTTTAAACGAACCTATGTACCGAAACGTGACAATTGTTAATAACATTTAATAAAAGATACTACACTTACACTAGTGCTTGCACGTTAACGATCGTTGTCTTAAATTTTCTTCACGAGAAATATACTTGCCTCGTGCTCGAAGAATTTGTCTTCCAAGGTTTTATCGCCAGGATTATTGCCGGCTCCCTCAAATAAGGCGCTGTATTCCTGTTTGAACAATGAGTAATGAAAAAATTAAATAAACTGACATATATTTAGTAGTAGAAAAACAAGAAAATGCTTGCACGCTTTACAGAAGACACTATGTAGTAATTAGCAATCGTTTAATTATATATTAATATTTAAAATCTTACGGCGTAATATTCCGCTACAGCCTTGACTTGTTCGTAATCGTCGGCCCTTGCTAGAGCTGCTAATCCATCTGGGTTCAAACGTCCGCAACGTGGATACAATTTCGCACGGTCGTCTTTGCCCAATTCAGTCCCGAACGAATTAATGGTTATAATGATCGCTCTTCTATCCGCTTCGAACTACCAAAGTATCATAGATACGCTATATATTGCACAAAAGATAAATTCTTATCATTTTAACCGGATGAAATCTCTTACAGCAAGTATCTCACACATAGTGTCCGCAGTTGTGCCACCAAGTTCCTTGCAAAATTTATAAAATGCTTCTAAATACGCCTTGTAAAGCGTGTTTCTTATTATCTCAATATTCATTTCATCCAAATCTTGCTCAGAAATGCAATCCACAAAAAATGGCGCTGTAAAGAAAGAAGATATAAGAATATTTACAAGGTTTAGAAATATGATGATATTGTTAACACATTATTGTATATAAAAGAAGGAGAAAAAAAGATAGTAAAATAACATCCTTACAAGAAAAATGATGCAATTTATATATAGGTTCTAATTGGAAAAATAAATAAAGGACAAATAAAATAATTATTACTTATATTCATTCATCATAGCTTACAGTACTGTATCATTTTATCTTTATTTGGCATGTAATGAACATAAAGATAAAACAGAAAGATAGAATGATGCTTATAATATTGTAAGCATAAATTAATAATGACTCATTTTGGTCATTTATTAAAAAAAAATAAGATACAAGTGAAAAATACAATTCAAATAAAGGTCATACCTAAAGGTGTATCTACTAATACAGCATTATACAGCTCAGCAGGTGTAGCAGCAACATGAATCGCTTCCATCTGCTCGAAACTACCAAGTGGATGGCACTTTGGAATCAATTCTGAGATAGGTCTTTGATGCAAAGTACCAGTGATCAGCAGAATGATATTGTCAATCATATAGCTGTAAGTGATGAAATCTAGAAATTGTGAAAGCGGCTCGACTGAATGATTACGCATATGTTGAAATTCCACAACTAATTTCTCCCTCAACTTGTCATCGATCACACTGACAGAAAGCGGAGATGGTTCATTGGCCAAGAAACTGCCATAGTCCGTACCAGCCAAATGCAGCTTCAGATCTGTACAGATAATTAACAGAGCGATTAATTTGAATTAAAAGGAAATAATTTAAAACTCGTTTACATACTTGATACAAAGAATCGATTAACGTTGTCACAAGGAAAACGAAGAGAACATACCTTTAAAAAATATCTTGAACCTGTATTTTTAAGCAATGAATTACAGAGCCACATGTTATAAAGGGATTCTTTTTCGCTTAAAGAACATTAATTCGGTCCAAGAATGAGATTCTTAAAACGTGACGGAACGAGTAGAAACTAAATACCTTCGAGCGTTTCGCACTGAACCAGGTTCAGATAATCACTTTGCTGGAGTATGCCGCATTTAAAACCGCGGCACAGGCCCTCCAAGTAGCCACCGTCGATGTTGAACATGCAGCCCTTCATCTTGGAGCAAGATTTCTCCCGAGCACGTCCGTACAATAGGCAGATCCGTCAAAATCGAAACGGGGACTCACGCGACTCGCCCTTTTTTCACCGAGATCATATGACCGAGCGCACGGAAGTTTACCACGAATTCTCTCTCACTTATCGATATCGTCGATTCGCTGGAACAAAAGGCGCTCGATTCAAAACAGAGCTGTCCTTCCGAACGACCACCTTGCACGTATATGTTTGCAGGTAAAATATCTTGTATAATTATTCGCGCAGAATCTACTTTTGAACTTACTTAATCGCGAGTTGTGAAATAGTTCACTTGATATGTATGAACTATGTACTATGCGTACTTGTAGATTATGCGTATCCGCTCGCGATCGAACTACGGTTTGAAGTGCGCACAACTTCACGTGCTTCAGGCATTTCTGAAAATGCATGCACGCTATATCGCAATGTCGAGTGTGTATTGCGTTAATTCGAACCGCTATAAAAGAGAGACCAGAGAAACTCGAAGCTGCGTTTTCCTTCCGCTCGTCGCAGTGTGCCCTTGTGTGTTTTCAAGCCGCAATTTATTGAGAAAATTTACGTCGTAAATCACAGTCTTATTGGTATGCGGGAGGCAAGCCGATGCGAGAAAAAATTTCACGCTACACCGCATAGCCAGATAGAAGAAAATCAAGGTGCTCGCCACAGTTGTGCAAATTTAATTATCTCGCGTTCGTGCACAAAAATTGCAAAAATCGTACATTTCACAGTCGGTGAAGGTTTACATCGTGCCGCTGTATTGTCCGGCTCGCTGATAAGTCTCTCGATAGATGGACGATAAGCTCTAACGATAGTTGGAGGTAAATTCAAACAGTTTCCATGACACTTTTGTCTCATCGGTTAGAGCGATAAGTCTCATGTGTGACAACGTGACGGAAAATATTCGTGAATATTACGTATTACGAAAGGCTAGATACGAAATTTCCGACCGCTCGTAACCTGTACGTAAATAAAATATTGTAATTGTCGTGACCATCCTGCGAAATGTTATCGTTACTTTTATCGTCGAGTATGACAGCAATTATTCAAGTTGGTTAGACGCGGTGATGGGAATGATATTATGCCACATCCGATGTGTTATTTCGTTATTATCTCTCGTAGGCGATAGAACACTTATCAATCGTTGCGTAATTATTCATCATATTTCGTACTGGTGGTGTGTTACAGAAAACTTGCCGAAACCTGCCCTCGACTCTACAGACGGATAATTAAGACATTTCTACTTCTGAGAAGATATTAATGACATCCTTGCTGGCGAAGAATTTAATCGTATTGAAGGAAGTATCAGTCTAATTATTGTATTTTCATTGATAATTGTCTATTATGGCTCCTCAACATTCAGTGAATACTGGTGATAGTAATCTAGATGCTAAGATCACCGAATGGCTGCAGTGGAATAAGGTATGATATTTATACTGATGGGTTTGACACACACATAGATGTATGTAATAAGTAGAACTTCAGTTGTATAATATTTATATAAATTTCTATATTTTGTATCATAGGATCCAGAAGCAGAAAATGAGATATATAAATATTTAAATAATAAAGATGTTAATATATTATCAAAATTGTTCCTCAAGAGACTCGAGTTTGGGACTGCTGGTCTTAGAGGCTGCATGGGACCAGGTTACAGCCAGATGAATGATTTAGTTATTGTGCAGACTGGTCAAGGATTAACAAAATACTTGATGGATACAGTATCTGAGGCAGCAGAGCAAGGTGTTGTAATAGGATATGATGGCCGTTATAATAGTAAGATGTAAGCTACTTGCTATACTTGGAATTTGTGTCAACAAAGACTATTATATAAGTTATATAATAGCTCTAGCATATTTTATGTTTAGTTATATAATAGCTTTAGCTATATTTTATGTTTAATTTATATTTTATTTATATCTTATATATATATTATATATTATAGTCACAAAAATTTATGTTATTATCAAAAATTGCATTACAACATGAAGATTAATTGCAAATATTCTTCTCTTAGGTTTGCAGAATTAACTACTGCAATTTTCATAACCAACGGTATCAAGGTGTACTTGTTTCGTAAAATCTGCCCCACACCATTTATACCGTACACTATACTGAAATATAAGTGTGCGGCAGGTATCATGATTACTGCTTCTCATAATCCAAAAGATGATAATGGATATAAAGTTTATTGGCAAAATGGTGCACAAATCATTTCACCACACGATAAGAAGATTCAAAGCTACATTCTCAATAATCTCAAACCGCTCGAATCTTTGTGGGATATAAGTAAAATTTATAAAAACCCTCTTAATATGGATCCAACGACCTATATTACAGAATGTTATTATAAAGACCTGCGAGATGGCGTTCTGTACCCTGAAATTAATAAAAATACTACATTAAAATTCACGTACACTGCCATGCACGGTGTTGGATATGATTATATGAAATCTGCATTTGATGCAGCAAACTTTGAGGTAGTACATTATATATTAACATCAGAAACACATTTCTTGAGAAATTAATCACTCATCATTATCCTTCGTTTAAAATTTTCAGCCATTTTTAGTAGTCGAAGAACAGCAATTGCCAGATCCAGAATTTCCCACAGTGAAATATCCAAATCCAGAAGAAGGGAAAAGTGCTCTCGATCTTAGCATAAAATTAGCGGATAAAAGCGGTTCGTCTATTATACTCGCCAATGATCCTGACGCTGATCGGCTTGCGTGTGCGACAAAGAAAAAGAGGTTTGTTGACATGAAAATATACAACTTACAATATAATATATTGTAAATTTATCTTAAATAATGAAGGAAAGTAACAATAAAAACATATTGAATGACTTTCATAGCGGAGAATGGCATGTCTTCTCTGGAAACGAGCTTGGCGCATTACTGGGTTGGTGGATGATCCACACTCATCGAGTGTCAAACCCTCAGGCAGATCTAAACAACGCATATATGTTAGCATCAACTGTTTCCAGCAAGATCCTAGCTGCGATAGCTAGGAAAGAAGGTTTTAATTTTGAGGTTTGCTATGATTTTTGTAACGAGTTATAATGTTTGATACATAGAAATAGAAAGTAATTTAATATATATCTTCCTTTTCTCTTGACAGGAGACTTTAACAGGCTTTAAATGGATGGGTAACAAAACTGTAGAATTAATGAAGGATAATAAAGATGTGCTATTCGCGTATGAAGAAGCTATAGGTTTTATGTGCGGTACCCAGGTATTAGATAAGGATGGTATCAGTGCTGGCGTACGTGTAGCTGAATTAGCAGCCTATCTTGAAATGTTAGGGTTGACTTTGTCTGATAAATTACAGGAAATATATACAGAGTATGTATATAATTTGGAATCTAAAACAATTTTCACCTAAATGCGATAAATCCTAATTATTTAATAAAATACGTAGATACGGCCATCATATTAGTGATAATTCTTATTGGATATGTCACGAACCAAACACCATCAAGGCAATATTTGAGCGATTGAGGAATTACCATGGCAAACCGAACATGGTAAGTATTATTATTATCTCTTTATAATACTTCGTTTTTTGTAGGAGAGTGTTATCGAATTATGAAAAATGACAAAAAATATAGCAGTTTGTGCTATCTAAATTATCGCGTTTTTAATTATTATATTAACTTGCGTTTTTCATTTTTATACTGGCTTGCGTAAAAATGCGCACGAAGAAGAACTCGATATCGCATTTCCAAGCGTAAGATTAAGCCTATTAATCAAGATTCAGGGGAAATTTTATATCTCACGATATCTTAAAGCTTATCTTCTGTCTACAAAAGTCATATCTGATCGTAACAACGCCTAATTGGAAGTATATACGTCTTTTAGATAACAGTTAATTCAAGTACGTCTAATACAAAGATATCAGATTGTATCGAATTCTTTCAATTGCGTTCTAGTTAATGCTACGACATTCTCTTGCGTAGTTACATATTCCATGTATCCAACTGTGTATATATACATATCACGTTTCCACAAGGTCAACAGGTATATGTATGTAACGCATGAGATAGCACAAAGTGACTAATCATTATATGAAGTGTAGTAAAGTCCAAGCATTACTACATTTGTGCTAGTGCCATTTGGGGTGATGGTTGTGTTTAGTGTTGCACTCACGATTAAATAATAATAAACACAATGTGAATGCAAAGTGCCGCATGCGATATTAAGAAGAAAAAAAGAATACAATAGAGTACAGTGTCTCTTATTATGATATATATATTCCGTTCGGTTTACATTTGTATCTATCATTTTTGACTAATAACTTGGTTTTTTAATTACCATAAATGTATTTTATAATAACATAAGAAGGCCTTTCTTACGTCAGTTTACAAAATTCTGCACTTCCTTTGATTTGCCTTAATGCAAGTTAAGATGTCACAAAACAATATCTGCAACAAATACATAGACATGGCTGTTACATCATTGACACTCTTGCCTTCCTTACTTCTTGCTGTTTTGATTATACCAGTAGTACAGTCGTTATATCATCTCGCACCATTTTTTACGGATGCAGAAAATATAAATACAATGTAAGTGCAAATAGCGTAACTAATGTGTAAAGATAATAGAGGTAAAGAGAATTCCAATACGTGAAACTTTTTTCAATATAAAATAACATTACAAATTAGATTTCCTTGCTTTTTCGTAAAAGGAAGCTCTAATATAATTTGTTTAACTGCAGTATCCAGCCGGAATATTGGAGGGAAAATATATAATTACTGGTATTCGAGACTTAACAACCGGATATGACAATACGAAACCTGACAACAAAGCAGTCTTGCCTGTATCAAAGTCTAGCCAAATGATTACATTTACTTTTAAGAATGGGTTAGTCACTACTTTGAGAACCAGTGGCACAGAACCTAAAATAAAATATTATAACGAATTGTGTGCATCGCCCGAGGAAAAGTAAGTTTTTTGCAAAGAGTGTTTGCAAAAGCATTTGTTTGTCTCGTCTTGCTCAATCTCAAGAGATATTCCATTATATGTTAATATGTCATATATTCTGGAACGGGAAGCAACAAGTTACCTGTAATGCCGTTATTTTTATTATTTTTTATTTTTATTTTTTCGTTTATATAGTAACAAATACAATCGTTATTTTGCATAAATATGAATACAATCGTTACTTTGCATATATATGAATAAGTTACTGTGCATACGTACGACATGAGCGGTAATGAATCGTAGTAAGAAAAATCCTCTGAATTTTCGTGAAAAAATAAAAATTGTAACGACTCGTTATTTTTTAAGTAACAATAATGGTATCGAATTAAATTAAAAAGTAACTTCTTTAGTTCTGATATATATACATATATATACATACACATTTCTTTAACTTCTTTGATATAATTTGTTTTGGTGTAATTTTATATTTCCTTAAATAATATAGCAATTTGTTTTTAGGGATTTGAATAAATTGAAGGATATTCTTACTGAGATGGTATCAGCTATCGTAACAGAATTCCTTCAGCCTGAAGTTAATGCACTTATTCCTCGTGAAACATAAATCGCAGTAATAATCATGCTCTTCAAAAGTTTCACGATGTACGTTGCATAATAATCACTAAGTTATCAAAGTATCACTCTACAATAACTAGTAATCTACAATAACAAGTACCGTTCTGTAATATGGTTCTAAACATTTATGTAAAAATTTATACAAGTATACATTAGTAGGCATTATATATTCTTCATTATGTTAATATATTTATATAATATGTGATACAATAAGTTCAATTTTATTATGCGATGGAAGCGATGTTACATCCAGTGATCGTTGAAATGGCTGTGTACTGTGTATTTTGTCTGTTCGTTATTAAAACTGACAGATACTTGATTTAAGACGCCGATGTCTCTTTTGTATATCGTTTATATTTAATTATTTTGGTAATTAATTGGAATGATTTAACAAGTAGTAGTGCGTTTCAAAATATGGTTATATTGATCATTTTAATAAATAATAAATTATAACTATATATAACAATTCAACAAATTTTGACACAAAAATCTACTTGATGAATTATTACGTATCAATTCTTTTTATAAGTTTTCATAAAGACGTAGAATATATCAAAGAATAATCGGTTAAAATTAAAACAAATGTAACATGTACAAGCAATTACTCATTAATAATAATAGTTTAATAAAAATGATTTAGTTTATTATATAAACTATTAATAATAGTAATTTAATCTTTATATAATTGAAATCAATAATAATATAAAGCATTAATTTATTATACAGATAGTATCAATATATCAAGATAATGATAATTGATGATATGTAATGATTGTCTGTGTGCATGTATGACAATGTTGCGTGCGTATAATGGTTGTAAGAATTATTTTACATCATAAACGTAATGTAAATTTAATTATAAAGTATATTTCTTTTTTTTTTTTATTATAATTACCTTTGATCATACATACAAAACAACAAAAATAATTGCAAAATGATTTATAACTCTTTATACAGCAAACTTATAATTTCTGATCTTTCCATTAATTAGTATACCATTTGTATTTATAAATGAGAGAAGCAGAAATAATTATAAGTGAAATGTAAATGAATATAATGAAATGAAATGAAATAAAACTTGTCATTCTATACATCCGTCCAATAAGGCCCGTGGTGGAGCCGCTGTAATAATTCGTTCAAGCATTAATCACTATGAGGAACCTGAAATATCAACAGAAAGCCAAGCCTCTGCCGTATGCATTAAATGCAAAAGATATGTATTTTCCATCACTGCAATATACAGTCCTCCCAGGTACACCATCAACTAAGAAGAATACCTAGTTTTTCTTCAATCACATGGAAATTCCTGTATAATAGGAGATTCTTTAATGCTAAGGATACTTATTGGGGAAGTAGATTTATAGCACTATTCTCTGTAGGCAAATCACTAAAGTGTGACTTTTTGTCAAATGGCAGCCCAAGATACTAGTCTACAGATATAAATAAGCACCCTGATGTGATTGACTTTTTTATAGTTAGACTCTCAACAAATTATATTACAGTCGAATCCAGTCTCGATCTTAGCTCCGATTACACTCCGGTCATACTAAACCTTAACGACACTTTATATACAAAATGGTCTCCCAAACTACAAACGGCGTGAACTGGAGTAACTATTCAGACTATTTACGAAAAATATTAAGCTAAATGTTCCACTCAAAACTCATGAACAAATCGAAAATGATATAAGACTGTTTATGGAACAACTACAACAGGCAAGAAAAAATAATTATATTACCCTCAAAAAAGGCACTCTTAGATATAACTGTTCTGTGGAGGTCAAAGAAATGATAAAAGGAAAAAGGAAAGCGCGTAGAAATTGGCAAAGAACACGTGATCTGGAACGTAAAGTTATTTATAATAAACTAAAATTAAAGAAACATCTTTATGAAATTAAAAACCAAAGCAGCAAGTTATCTCCAGGGACTTTCTGCTGAAAAGGATGCTAACTATTCTCTATGGAGAGTAACTAAAAAGATTAGGAGACAATCTATCAATGCTCTGCCTATCAGAAAATCAGACGGTATATGGGTTCGGGGTAATCAAGAAAAGGCTGATCTCTTCGTCGACCATCTGAAGAACATTTACAAATCATTTGACAGCCACAATGAGAATTTGGTCCAACCCAACGATCACGTAGATGATAGTCCTATAATAAATATACTTCTCCTAAGGAAGTACAAAAGGTAATAAGCTGTTTGAATCCCAAAAAAGACCCAGGTTTCGACCCTCATTACCGTTCGAATAGTTAAAGAACTCCCAAACATGGAATTATGAAAATGACCCATCTTAATGCGGCTATTAGACTGAAATACTTCCCTGATTAATGGAAGATAGACGGAGGTAATCTCAATTCCGAAACCTGGCAAATCATTAAACAAAGTAACCTTGTACAGGCCGATATCACTTCTTCCTGTCATTGCTAAAGTTTTTGAAGAACTTCTTACTAAGAGACTAAAATCGATCATAGAAAATAACAACTTCATTCCAGGGCACCAATTTGGATTCCGTGACAAACATTCTACCATCGATCAAGTACATCGCATAATAGACAAGATAGAGATGACATTTGAGGACGGAAACGTCTGCTCAGCAGTACTATTGGATGTATCACAAGCATTTGATAGGGTATGGCACGAGGGACTGGAGCTTAAATTGGAAGGACTTGCTCCCTAAATCGTTCAGGAAATTACTGAAATCATATATACAAAATCGTAGCTTCAGAGTTCGAGTAACGAGGATGTTTACTCTAACTTTAGAAAAATTAAAGCAAGTGTCCCACAGGCGTATTGGGACCAATCCTGTATCTCTTATATATAACGGATATCCTAAGGAATCCCGAAGTTCGAGTTGCAACCTATGCTGACGACACAGCAATATTAGCTATGGACATAAATACCGCTATAGCTACACGTAAGCTTCAACATGCTGTGAACATGATAGTGGACTGGACCAAAGTGAGTGGCGTATAAAGCTAAATGAAAATAAGTCTTAGCATATAAACTTTACTCTGAAAAAGGAATCCCCCTTACCAATAACCATAAATCAGCAAGTGGTTCCATACTCCAATATCGCGAAGTATCTTGGTATGATGCTCGATGTCAAACTTCGATGGAGGGAGCATATCAAGATCAAACGGAAGCAGTTGGATGGTGTACATACAAAAATGGAATGGATGATTGGCAGGAACTCCAGCCTATCAACTCATAATAAACTTTTGTTATATAAACAAATTTTAAAACTTATCTGGACGTATGGCATACAGCTGTGGGGATGCAGTTCTGCTTCGAATATTAAAATTATACAAACTTTACAAAACAAAATACTCAGAAATATTACAAAAGCACCGTGGTATTGTCGAGACAGGGATATACATCACGAGTTACGAATCAATACTGTCGTCAAAGAGAGAACAATAGCCGTAGAGAGGTATAAACAACGGCTAGTCAACTATCCTGATCGACTGGCGTCACGTCTCCTAAATATTGAAAAGAAGCGAAGGCGTCTGAAGAGAACCAAACCTACTAATTTAATGTATTAGGCTACATCAGTGTGATAAGGCTGCGAATGTCGTCTCTCTCCGTTTGAATTCACGGACTTTGTAAAATGTAATGACAATAACTATTGCCACACAGAATTACGTCTGACTTTTCATATGCCTAATATATTGTAAAACGGTCTATGTTTGACTGGTTTAATTGATCTCTGGCTTTTTAGCTTGTTTAAAAAAAAAATATATATGTACAAGGTATTGCATCAACATACAACTCATTATACGACGGGTTGCCTGCCCAAAGGCGCGCGCGTCCAGATGGCAATTTCGGATTTGTCAATATAGTCACTCGCATATCTTTTTTTTATTATGATAATTAGGATGATAATTAGGAACGCTATAACTTCATTGGAAAGGTATGACTATATCGACAAATCCGAAATTACTATCTGGACGCGCGCGCCTTTGGACAGGCAACCCATCGTAATGGGCCGTATATATATATATATATATATATATATATTCACATATATATTCACATATATATTCACAAAATAATTAAATAACTTTATTAAAAAGAAATGAAGAAAAACCACTAACACGAAGAGTCAAGTTTGGATCTACGCCTTAGCACTCGGACGCCCTAACGTACTGCTACACACCACTTCGAATTCCGATCATACTATGCTGGTAAATATCGGACACTGAAATTTTTTTCATTACTAACATCTGAATGGTGAACCGTCTACACCGAATATTTTACGTTTGAGCTTTGGAAGGTTCCTCCTACAAACTGTTAAAGTTTTATTCACATCTCCGTTGCCTACCTCGTATGGTCTCTTTGTTAGATCCATGTTGAGAAAGCACTAGCAGCTTCAATCACATCAGCCAAGCTAGAGCAAGAAAGAGAGAATGCCCTCTCTCTCTCTTTCTCTCTCTGGCACGCACGCACACATGCATTGCATCACTGGCTAAATCTTGAAATGTTTTTCTGCTGCAGCGATGTATCGTTTGTAAGGGGGGCGAGAGGGGGTGAGAAGGGACAGCTCATAAGCGATAAAATTGCTGCTAGCGCATGCCTACCAGCTTTATTGTTGAACTGGCTGCATTAATTCAAGAAATTTACATACGCATTGAAGTGTACAAAGCGTACGTACAAGATTCTCACGTTTCACTATGCGTAATTTTCTTGAATTAGTGCAGTCAATTCAGTTATAAAGAACAGACCATTTAACTGAAAACTAACGGATACGTGGCCTGTGAGAGCGCGGATTATGCGAAATATGGGTCGACATGATGAGCTTTCTACAATAAGCAATCTGAATTCCGTTTCTGCAAAATGAAATCCTTATTTTATATAGTTGCGATCCACCGTTTCCACATCTTCTCGTTTCATGGAAACTGATGCCTTTCCTTATTATTGCATCAATGTACCACATACATCTTCAGCATGTTAAAAATTCCGAAATATTTATGTTTATGTACACATTTCCTTCGTAACTATATCACGCAAATGCCGTGAGCAACCCGGCGTGTCCCTAAGCTCTCTAATATTCCTAGCGAAATAACAGTCGCCTTCCTCATAAAATATCGCTAATACTTTGTTATTAGTTTCTAAGTTCATAATATATACTAGAGCTTTCTTTATATAGAATAAAGATTATGTGTTAGTAACATTTCTTTACTTTTATGATTTCTTATATTCTTTACTTGTATTTGAAATAATTTAATTATTTTTCCTTGTCAAATTTAGGGGTGGGCAAAAACTCTCTACCCTTTTGGCTATGCTTATGGCTATATTATAAAACATGATAATTTTGGGGTTTAAAATTTGTTGTTAGTTTTGAAATGTAAAATACATTTGTAAATTTTGTGACAAGACTTCAAAAAGACCCAACTTATATATATAAAATATTCGCTCTTTGTAAGTGCGTTTTTAAACATTCTTATTCTTTTTAAACTTTCAAACATAAACAACTTTAGTCTTTATGATATCATCGCTTGACGATTATCAGGAATGTCGCGTCGTAATAAAAAATAATAATTATCTCTTACAATTCTATATATGTAGTTAAAAGTATGTATATTTGTCTAAGCGTAACGCTGAGTATACAACTATACAACTATATCAATATATGTACAGTGACTTGCATTAATATTTGGATACTGTGATATTTTATAAAAAATTATTCCGTACCGTTATTTTCTTTTAACTTAACAATAAATAATTATATGGAGTAATCATTTCTCAACTATTATTGTATCCGAATATTAACGTAAGTTACCACATTACATATGTGATGCGTTCGAACTTCATGAAACACATAAAAGAATAGTAACCCGAAAGTTACGCATGCGACATTCAAATCACGTGTGTTAGTAACTACATACGTCCTTTCATTTTTATACAATGCAAGAATACCCCGCAATTAAAGTCGTTCTCTTATCCCTTCCTACTGAGGTATGTGTAAATAGAATTAATATAATTGCACCATATGATGATTACCACAGCATCACGTGTTTCGAACGGCCATTGAAGTCGATGAATATTAAGTTGTTACGTACGAGATATGAAATGTCGGTTTTGTATTGACGATTCTCGGATAATTTCCAGAGCAGAGAAAAATATACACGGTTAAATAGATTTGGTTATTTTCATATGTTTCTCGAAGTAATAAGTTTTCATAAGCTTACTTAGATCATAAATGGATAATTAACTTTGACTGCGGAGTCCGTTCAGTAACAAAGTGCTAGCTATGTACGACCGAGTCACTGTAGTAATTACCAATGTGTAGAGCACTATCGCACGTTATAGTTTAGATTAAGTTATAGATTGCCTCATTCTAATCAAATCACTTTTATATTCAATATTTTATGTCTGTATGATAACAATAATATATAAACAGGATATTTAATAATTTAACTCATTGAAATATTACTAGTGAGCGATTATTGTTGAGAGTCTATAGGCACCATTCATACATGGTAAGCGTTTTCATCAAACGCTTATAAGCGCAATTTATACATGGTGAGCATTTTCATTAAGCGCCTGTAGGCACTGTTTACAGTCAAAGATTAAAAAGTATGAAGAAATGAAATCAAAAATATATTTCCATTTGCAAATACCGTATATTGAAAGACGATATAAAAAAAAAGCGCTGATTTTTTCTCTAAAACGACTCCTTCAAAACATATATTTTGTATAATTAATGTGGTAAAATTGCGTAGTTAAAAAGTAACTTATATATCACATTAATTTGACAGTTTTTCCTTGATTATTGAAAGAAAAAGAGAGTTTCAAAATATTTTACAAATGTGCTCAATGGACCCCAGGTGTTATTTTTACGGATATATCTTTTTATTTCAACATATTTCGCAAAAATATTGAATATGTATTTTCTTACTTTTGATGTTATCAATTAAAATGATCAGAATAAAAGGCTAGTAACTTTAAAGACTTAAAACGTACCAAAATATAGATTTGGAAGTGACCGCTTTGAAGGTAAAAATCAGCACATTTTTTAAATTCTTCTTTATGTACCGATATTCATTGCTTTTTCTCTTTCATTTGTTCTAGTTTCTCTAGTTCATTTCTTCATGAAAGTACCTGTCACCGGATGAGCAAAAATTTATAGATTATATTACTCTTGATATTCAGTTAGTCAGTTTTTGTGACTTAGTGAACTAGTTCTTGTGAACTAGTTATAAGAAAAGTGAGATTTGCTTATTATGCTCATAATTTTACTTTCGAAACCCGACACATCGTACGTAACGAAACATAACAATTTGACAATATAGTTCTATTCCTCCTCGACATACTCTTTCGGGAAAAATCCAACTTGATCTCCTATTTTACCCTTCCACCATCCTTTGGCATCGCCTTCCTTACTCAGTACTACAACCCGGCAACCGCGTCGCAGACTTAACTGATTACGTTCGCAGCCATGGAAGTCGAAAAGCGCTTTGGCCAAAATTCGCCTGTACGGCCACAGCAGACGCTGATCCAGCTTCTCGAAGTTTTCCGATAATGACGCCCGCTCGTAATATTCAACGAGTTCGACGACGCTCTTGAAGAAACGAGATTCGCTGAGATAATAAAGATCTGCGCCGTCCACATCGCGCTTAAATACGCGGATATGTTTTACCGCTCCCTCCGCTCTAAAATATAATATGTTCGTTATATTGTGTAATATGATATAATTAAATAATAAAAAATTAAATGTATAGAATAGCATAATTCTCTCGTTCCGCGAATTTAGAACTCACTTAATACTAAGAGCGTAACTTGTTTCGTGCTGAAGACGAGGTTGCCCCACTGGACGTACACGCAGCATATATGTCCCGTCCTCCCGGGATTCTAATTTATTGGAAGCTGCATCTCTACCCATCTCTCCAACGAACCATAACTTCACGGATAACGCACGTTCGCAAGGTAACGGTGGGGGAGGTGTCGGTGAGGGCGGTGACGGCATACAGCGACCTGAGTGCGCGATGCATTGCTTATGCACGGCTAGATGACACGTATCGCATTTGTAACCCTGCGTAAAAAAAAACTTCTTTTAATTCAGTAAATTTTCGAAAATTGATATAATCCTACTGATTTACTCAAACATGTTCATTTTATTTACTTTTAAGTAAAGATTAATCAATAAGTATAATTAATATTATTAATAGAAACCAGGGACTTGGACCGGAATCGGAACAGGACCGAATGAAAATATCAGTCCGGTTCCGATTCCGGCCCACTAAAATATATATATATACGAAATAACATTGTTGTGGACAAAAAGTGCGTTCAGGGCTGTTGTACAGAACTTGATTAACTGCCTCGTTTACATTTTTTGTTGTACTACAGTTCGAACTATGAGTTTTTATATTTCAACTAACAGCTTTTATATATTTTTGCGTGTTGTATTCTGGACTCTAAAAACACTAGAAGTCTCTGAAGAATTTAAAGTCGTTACTGATACAGTGTTTTTGCAGGTGAAAGTTCACAGCGATCAATGAATTAAAAACCCGCTACACGTTTATTTTTAACACTCATAATCGATTTAGCACACTTATAAAAATATCCACACCCTTTCCTTTAAGCCGAACGGCTATAAATTAATTTATTAATTTATTAATAAAGAGCCGTAAAATTAACGTAATAGAAATCATGAGAAAAAATAGGTTAAAAACATAAGTTACGTGTTACATTAATTTACGGCTATTTATTAATTATTCAGGTTAAAGTAAAGTCTGGGTATTTTTACATTTGCTAAATCGAATGTTATTTCGTTCGTATATTCTTCTATTTCCATATATACCATCATATAAATTGGCATGATCTTCCTCACTTCTGACGTCATTAAAGAAGGACAGCCAAAGCAAGTATTTAAGACCCTTAATGAGTGTTTTCCATTTAGTGACACAAATCGACACAAGCATCATCCTTCACTCACTGAATATGGAACAAAGAAAATGATATTTATGTCGATTTGTGTCTAAATGGAAAGCATACAATCGAGATGACTACAGCGAGGAAACAAAAGCTTTAATACGTAATTCTTTTTTCTTCTAGTTTCCAGTGCAATTTTTTAACATTATTGTTTTGTAAAAATTTCATTTGGACAAATTTCTTAATATTACTTCTTTTGTAGGAAATATATATTTAAATATTTCATTTTAACGTTTGTAGATTCATTTTAAAAATATATATTTTTTATATAACACTTCTACAAATATTTTTGGAGAGCACACATTCTTTTTCAAATTATTTATTAATTCTATTAATTATATTATTAATTTTTATATTTATTATATTATTATTTATTACTTATTAACAATATCTGCTTTTATATCATTTTATTTAGACAGAGGCACACGTGAACTTGGTTTTTTTTACGTTACCTGAAATATGCGGCCCTTGAGAAATCTTCCGCAGCGTTGACAACTTCTAGGAATATCGAATGTTGTCAGCTTGAATTTGTGATTAGTGTTGCGACAAGCGGCAGGGTTAACATTGTCCATAGCATCTTGCAACGCTTTTATCCACATTTGCTTCTGCTCTTCTGTTCTTGCGTATAGAGTATACGCTGTATATGCCTGTTTATGGACAAGTAGCCACTGATAAGACCAGCGTGAGTCTCTGCCCAGTGTCCGTCGTCCTATGTGATCTTCCAGTCTGTAATCATCTAACCGCAAGGTTTCCCGATAACAGTACTGATCTCCTCTACCAGCTTTGCAAATCAATACAACTTGCTCGAAAATAAACGCGTAGCGGGCTTTGATTCGTTGATCGCCGTGAGCTTTCACCTGCAAAAGCACTGGATCAGTAACGACTTTAAGTTCTTTAGAGACTTTTAGTGTCTTTCGAGTCCGGAATACAACACGCAAAAACATATAAAAGCTGTTAGTTGAAATATAAAAACTCATAGTTCAAATTATATTATAACAAAAAACTTAAATGAGGCGGTTAATCAAGTTTTGTACAATAGCCCTGCACGCGCTTTTTGTCCACAATAAAGTTACGCGAACCTTGAGCTCGCCATCTCGAAGCAATCGACCAAAATCTTTAAGCTGCGCATCCTCTGGTACATCCCAGTCAATTATCGATGCCTGAATATCTTTTATGATGTCTAATGTGTCGGAATCACGCTTCACTTCATTTATGTATTGAGCGACGTCAACCATCACTTCCCTCGCTTTCGTCAACTGTCGATAATCCTCGACCCATTCGCGAGGTGTCTCTTCAACAAGCTTGTCCAGTAGTAAATGATATTTGAGTACTCTCTGCATTGGAACGGACAATATATCACGTAGCTTAAATTTACCATTGTTAGCTTCTTGTTGGCACCTCTGAAACATACATAAATGTCAATTTAAAAAAAATATCCAAATAAGCTAGTTTCTTCTTGAAAAATAATTCTTTGACAACAAAATGTCAATTTTTTAATTTTAATTATGCAGGAAAGAAGAGTTTTTACAATCGCATCTTCCCCTCTTTTGCCCTCTCTTCTCCCCTTTTTCACTATTACGAAACTCACGATAACTTCCTGATTGACTACTTCGTTGCGAGTGCAAGCCTCCTGCAGTGTGTTTTGTGCGAGAGTGAGATTGGCACAATAATCGCCATAGATAAGGAACTTCTCCCGCCAGTCCAGAAACACCTGGGCCAATGCGGCACCGCTACGTGCCTTACGTAGCTGACTGTGGAAGCCGACATGGATCTCAGAGAGTTCTTTAATGCCGAAGAAAATGCGAACAGAGTCCTCGGGTCGCAGCAATGATGATAGTGGCCTAGCAAAATGCCTGAGCAAACTGCTTAGTACCTCCGAGTAATTCCGTTCGGTCTCCACGAGTTCCTGAATTACGTAATCCCGTTTCTCACCTCCAGTAACGGCACCGCCCTGTCGCACGGAAAATTAACTTAATGAAAAAGTTTTCTTGTGAACTATAGTTCGATTTGTGTGAAGCATGTGTGATGCTGCATAGTGCTTAACAAAATCAATCGTTTGTCGAAATATGTATAATAAGAAAAATGATTTGCTCAAACTTTTTCTCTTTTTTCAATGACAAATTAACAACATAATGATAAATTTTCAACATTTAACAAATTCATGCAGTTTTTCCGTCTCTTGATACAGAATATCTCTGGCGAGTCCCATTTTTTGTTAGCTATGAGAATTTTATAATTTCTCGAGAAAAGAAAAGAAATAAAACTCGTACTCGGACACACTGTACAGACGACTGTAATAAAAAATGATGACAACTAAATAAATAAAGATGAGATGAAGACCTGCGCAATGGATGGAGGAGGTGGCAAATGTAGACTACAAAGGTCCTGGTAGATCTCCTCGCTTTGCGCGTGACTGCAAAATGCTCCATACCCATCTTCCTCAGCAATAGGATCTTCGTTATCCCCCCCTCCATCCGCTTCATCACCTTCTCGTCTCCTAAATCTCCTGCGGCGACCCTCATCTTCACGGCTTTAGCATAAAAACAAAAAAAGAACATAGCCATGCACTATACATGCACACTGACATAAGTCGCTAGATGTCTCTGGCAAAAATCAAAATTATAAAATAGCACAGTTGTCCTAACAAGATTCGGCCACTGACAACATCGATTGCGATTGACACGCACTGCCATATATGTAAACTTGAGCGTCAACAATGAAATAGTCCCATTATCACTGTATCATTATAAGTTATATATGTATGAATAATTTTAATTGAATCACATTGCAAGATATATAGTCAAAAATTATAGAAAAAATTAATTAGTTTTAATTAATTAGTTTTAAAACGACTATATAAGAACTCTATTCGACTATATAAGACTCTATATAAGAAAACGACAATATAAGATTTTATTAATTGTACCTCATTCTGATACTATTCTCTTATTTCAACGGTTATAAATAGAGCCTTCTTTGCATGCATAAATGTATATTTATACATGTACAAATAAGCGTACATATGTATGCACGCACAACTGTTTCTAGACTTTTAATTCTTAACTATATGTATCGTTTGCCTTATTTGTAAGAGAACAATAAGATACAGTGATAACTGGTGCTTCCCCAAGACGCTTTTAATAATACTGCGAAACCTTGGAACGACATATACCTTCTCCACAGAAGGCCAGTCACGCTGAGAATTGCTCAAGAAGCAGAGCAATTCTTGATAAACCTTGGACTCATCTGCGTCCACAGCCTTAGTTTTTATGGTAAACGCCACCAACATGGTCGTGGCGCTAAATCAATTAATAAAAATTATTAAAAAGTTTCTTTATTTTTTCTATTATTCTTTGTTTTTAGAATAAGCAGTGCAATTATTTTTACAGCCTTTACTTGATCGTGATTTAAAGAACAGATAAATCCAAATGGAAAGCAGAATTAATATTTATCGATGAATTGTAGATTTATATAAATCAACATATTATTACTAATATATTGATAATAAATTCTTACCCTGCACCAGCGCTTTGTAAATCTTTATATATATCTTCTTGTGATCGCCCATGACCAACTGAAAATCCACTGCAACAAGGTTTTATTATTCTTTTTCGTTTATCTCAATTATTGGCAACTTATTAGTGATAACCTAGTTTCCAATGACATAAAAGTAGATAAGTAACTTACGATATACCCTTTCGCCTAAGTCGTGGACAGTTAGATAAGACAGAGAGTGTACAAAGGACACGATGAAAATTAGACAGATCAAACAGCATAGATGGCTCGAAGAGGTCAGAGTCCAGAAGGCCAAAAATGCTTGAACATGCTGATAAGAACATCTTTATATTGCGCAAACACAAAAACTGTGCCATTTGTGGTTTTTGGTTTACATCCTTCATATCTATACAGCCTGGATCCACAGTATTTAGTAGATTACAAAGCAACACACCATCTCGTAATGTATAGGCCAGATCAAATGCAGTTGCTTGTGGCCAATTGGCTTTGTGATCTGCTCGTAATGCTCCACATCTTGTCAACCAGCTAGCACACTCATGCCAACCTTTTCCAGTATCTGTGCTTTCTGTCCTGTTCATTTTCATTTAATAATTGCAGTAGTAAAAGTTCTGTTCATCTGTGACAGATACACTTCTGTATAAGGTTTTAGGAAGATATTCATCACATTGCTACCTATTGAATATAAAAGTATAACAAAAAAATATTAATAATATACTAAATACTACAAAAAGTGTTAAAAATTTTGTCAATATATTTATTATGTTCAATATTATGAATCCTTATATTATATAAAGTTGTCAGAAATATGTTAAATATTAATCCGTAAGAAGCACGTGATTTTTTTTGAAAGATAAAACAACTGTTGCTTATAATTAAAATTCTCAAGTATTATTGACCTTACTTTGCTAAATCCAACAGTAAGGACTGATTGTTCTAATTTCTTGGTAAGATTTACCCAACAGGCACCTATTAGATAGATCAATCAACAACAGCCATTCATGCTTATCTAATAGATACTTATAAGATACCTAATAGATCAAATAAATTTTACCATGAAATTGGAATAATTGGTCTTAAGTAATAGAGGTTACTAAAAGTACCAATATTGCACACAAAAACATAATGGAAAAAAATTTTATTTATTCAGTCATATAGGTAAGCATGACCCCTCACATATTCACTTACGGATTAATTCAGAAATTTCGACATAAACATCAGATATTTTCTTGCACATACACACACACACACACACACACACACACACACACACACACACACATATATATATCCTTAATTTAATACTTATATATTATAAAATATATAATTTAATAATTTAACTACTAAATATACTTCCCTAAATATTACAAAAATATATAACATAAAAATGAATTTAAAAATGAATCCTCCCTTATATTTTCTCACTTTAAATGTACTTTATTTCTACTTTCTTATTTACTTTTAAACATAAATATGAATACATCATATCTCATCCTATTTTAAATATATATAATGTTAAAACAAACATAAACCTTTTATCACTGCAAAATATTACGATCATATGTGTTAGAAAAATTCACACTTCCTCATAGCTCATTTAAGAATGAAGATTCTTCAAGTGAGAAATTCAAGACTATAAATTATCGCATGACTTGAATTCGAAAAATCAATCTATGAGATTAGATTACGAATGTAATAATTTATATATTGCCTTTCAATTTCGAGCAACCTCAAGTAAACAAGCGAGCAGTAATCAGTAGCAACTAACCAAAATTTGTCGATCGTTTCTTTTTGACCCATTAAAGATCCGCAGCTGTCACCGCGTCGTTGGTGGGCCGGAAGCAAATCGCGTTGTTTCCTATTGTGTTGTATCAGCCAGCCAGCCAGCCAATAAGAAACAATATGATATTCCGCAACTAGGTTCGAAAAACTTTGTCCATAGTGTCATCATTACGATGGCATTTCTTCTCGGTGAACTCACGAAGCAGAAGGTAGAAGAAAGAGATGAAGAGAGGAGAAGAATGAGAGCACAATATGTACACGATGTCACGATGATGTACCTGTGATGCTGCACGCCACGCGTTAACCGTTCATGCCTGTGAGATTATGGTAACGTTTGTCGCGAGTTATTACCGTATGCACATATTCCAGTGCAAATCATTACGTACGCCATAATATTACATTCAGCACACACAAACGAAATTCTCCGATCGACGCTCAATGAAGGCTATTCCTCGCAGGACCGGCCATGGACTTTTCGAGCACCCCGTGATATGTAATAGTCTGTTCTTTTTAGTTGCACTGCTAAACTGGTTTAATAAATTAAGCGGGAAACACACTTCGGCATAGCGCATAATGCAAGATGCATAAGAAGGCGAGCCAATCAGAATCCTTCGTTTTCATTGTGAGAATAGAAACATAGAACTGATTGGTTTGTTATCTTAGCGTCATGTTAATGCATGTATAATTGCGTTATGCCAAAATATGTGCTTCCTACTTTAGAGTGAGAAAATAGTATTTGTACAAATCATGAGATTCAGGTAGATATTAAAAAATTTTACACAATAATGATTTGTTCTTTTTAGCTGCACTGCAGGACATGTAACTCTCTAAAAAGGAAACATGAAAAATGAAAATTCCAAATGTTTGTAAGTTAAAAAATTTACTCTTTTCACGAATTCACGCTAGAGGCGAGAATTCACGCTAGAGAATTCACGAAGATGCATGACCTAGGGATTAATCATGAATCTTCTCCTTTAGCTTAAACTCGTGAAAAGAGTAAATTTTGTAGTTTTGAAAAATATGGGATTTTCATTTTTCACATTTCCGCCCTAAAGAAAAGTTACGTGACTGATACCCTGAATTGGTGCAATAAATTAGAGCGAGACAAAATATATTCGTCTCATTCTGACTTATTGCACCAGTTCAATAGTACAACCAAAAAGAACAGACCAATAGTTGCATTTGGAAACATATACTGTATGTACCCCACTAAACCCACTAGTTATATATTTGTCCCACTCTAATTTATTGTACCAATTCATCAATGCAACTAAAAAGAACAGACCATAGCTATTTTGGATTCTCCCCATAGGACGCGGCAACGTTTGCCGCACGGTAGCCAATAAACTTCTAGTTCTTACTGAAAAACGGCATGTTGATTGGCTACCGTGCGAACTTCCGCTACGCGGTAAGAGTTGCCGAGTCCTATGGGCAGAAGCTATTTGGAAACACTGATAGCGTTTTCGATTTGTTAACTCAACTCGACTTGGGCAGCATTTCGTTATTCCCTACCGTATTCTTTGATTATAAATGATATTTATAATTAAAAAAATTTAGAAATATTTTTTTCTTATTATAAACTTAGCAACAATTATTTATAACTATATAACACTCTTATCTTATCTAAAAACGTCTTCGGCATTTCTTATAGATTATATATTTCCAAGCATTCAAAATGGCCATTATATTGCTTCTAGCACCTTTCATGATGACATAATTATATATTATCAACTATATATGTGCAGCATTCCGATATTTACTGCCAATACTGAATTTATCTATAGTATAGCATGAATTATAGATTTCAGTACTGACAACAAATATCGGAACGCAACCTCAGTTTCTGATTTCGATATCACATGATATATCTATCTCCACAATGTGCTTTTCCTTATATTTTTTATTCAATGATTATGACATCTAATAATCATACGTCATCAACTACATTCACAAGGAACTTTTGGCAATGCGAAAATTCAACAAAATTTAAAACTATTGGGAATACAAATTAGTTCGGTCCGTTTTTTGCGATCAAAAATACATTTATTTCAGAACAAAATGAATGAACAGATTAATCAAAGTATTGTCCATCGCTGGCTACTACTTTTTCCAACATCTCAAGCATTTTTCGAATTCCATCTCGAAAAAATGTCTCGTGTTTTGAGGCGATCTAAGTTAGGAGCCAATTTTCGATTTCTGCGAAAGAAGTGAACCGGTGACCTGCCAAATCGTGCTGCATCCGTCGGAACAACCAGTAATTAGAAGGAGCAATGTCTGGCGAATACGGCGGGTGCGGTAAAATATCCCAGTTGAGCATTTCCAAATAATTTTTTACGACCTGTGCGACATGCGACTTTGTTTCAGTTCATAAGGTACCCAATTGCCTTGCTTGTAAATCATTCCCATGGATTTCAATAGTACGGAAACTGCTTGTTGCGTAACTCCCAATGATTCTGCAAGCTCCTCTTGCGTTTGACACGGATTTTTATCGAATAATGCCTCCAATTCTTTGTCTTCGAATTTTTTGGCTGTCCAGAGCGAGGCTGGACGCACGCCGCTGCGCGTCGATGTAAACAAATGAACGTTGTTATTTACCTATTGCGAGTTACCAACTTTTTTTTTCACTCATTTATTCGAAATTGAATAAGGAATCGAAATACACGGCGACCCATTTTAATCGACAAACGGAGATATCTCTGAAACTACGCAACCTACGAAAAAGATGTTCGAATAAAAGTTGTCGAGGACAGTGGGTGTCATCTACTTATGCTAATGACCTTGACCTTGACTTTGAGGTCAGTTCAAGGTCATTTCAATGTCAAGGTCACTTTTTTAAATGGAACCTCCTATTTTTAATGCCGGATTCAGAAAGAGCGGGAAATTTTACATCCAGATATGTATACTGATGATGTTGGCATATCGATTGGCTCATGCCATGAAATTTTTTCGAATGTTTTGGGTATGAAACGCGCGTGGCAGCAAAATTTCACAACAACACTTCATTGCTTGTTCGTGAATTTTTGGCCAAAAACAATACTGTAACGATGCCCCAGTTTCCATATTCGCCAGACATGGCTCCGTGTGACTTTTTAATATTTCCAAAAATAAAGAGAACCTTAAAGGGCCGTCGTTTTACAAACATAGATGACATTAAAAGCGCATCGTTGAAAAACCTAAAGGCTATCCCAAAGATCGAGTTTGAGAAGTGTTTCGAGGATTGGAAGAAGCGCTGGCACAATTGCATAATACCTAATGGGGACTATTTTGAAGGCGACAACATTAATGTAGACGAATAAATAAATATTTTTTTCCAAAAACGAAAATTCCCGTTATTTTCTGAACACACTTCATACTTTCTGATTCGTCGTTCTGATCAGTCGCCTCTCAGTGTCCGTGCAGGCGCACGCGCGACCATCGTCGGTCTCCTCCAATACTCTCGCTCGTTTCTGGTTCTAGCCAATTGCCTTTCGTCGTCGTGGTCTTGCGCATGCGCGTTTCTTACTTTCAGTTCGGCTGGCACCAGTTGGTCGGGCCAATCTAACCTCGCTCTCTATTTGACTGGTGGCCAGTCGTTAGGACAACTTAACCTTGCTTTTATGTCAGCCGGGGTCCGCGATGCCGCCTACCGGAAGTCCCCTTTTCTTCCATCTAATTCCAGTTTCTGTTTGAAAAATAACTTTTGCATTTCGTATACTGAGTTTATTGATTTTATTGGTTTAAAAAATAACTTTTTCCTTCTTTTCTATGCAACTTTGCACGCGCGTCTTATAGTTCGCTCTTGTAGTCATACGTTTTACTAGCATGCCGTTAAACTAAAACTTTTCGATATTTTTCACTTATCGGACGTAGAATTATATAAAACTAAATTCATAATATAAAAATAAACTTTTGTAATCATAATATAAAAATAAACTGTTGTAAACATAATACAGAAATAAAACTGTTATAAATTATAGAAATAAAACTGAAGAACTAAGTTCTTAATTTTGTTTCGGTTCTTGTTCTACTTTGTGCGGTCTCCCTCTTCTCGCGGTCAGCCGCGTTCCCCTACGCGGCTGTATTTCCGGTTGCAGCAGCAGATTGAAGGTTGTTCAAATGCAGAAATCTTAAGTATTAACACGACTCCTTCGGTGTACAGAAAATAACGCGTTTAATGTAACTTGGTATTGGGAATCTTTAAGCCGTCCATAATCATAATTGAGAAGAAGAAGGAAAAGAATTGCGTTTGATGGATTAAAAGGTTAGATAATTTTAATTAATTGGTGTAGTACTTTCAATAAATGTAATTAAATGTGTATTAATATCTAGATATTACAATGATTGCTGCAAAAACTAATTAGACAATTAATTTATTAATCAATTTGTAGATAGATACTGCAAATGTAGGAGCAATAGTTTTTCTTGCAATAATTATACCGCAAATAGTTTTTGAAGACTCTTCATCCTCTGAATATGAGAATTTTGTATCAACATTACTTTAAATTAATATGACGAACTTTTATTATTTAAAATTCTAATATAGTTAACCATTGCTTTTCGTATAATTTATGATATGAAGTCTTTAATAGCTGGCTACGTTTAATTTCTAAAGTCAATTTTAATTAATAGCATTTTTTAAAATATATTATTGTTAAGTATTATTTTTTGCAGACTTAAACAAATATTTATAGTCACCTTAAGGTGGTTTAAGCTTATATCAGTCTACGTGTTGGGAATTGAGATTAAAATAAATTTGGCCAATAAGTGAAAAGTTAACTAAACTCAAGTTTAGTGAAATTTAGTGAACTTTGCACTGATTGGCCAATTTTCCATTCAATCTCAATCTACAATTCCTAGTCTGATATGGGTTTTATATTAATTTAATAATACTACTAAAGGATATTAATACTAAAAGATTAATACTGAATCCAGTTTTGAACATACGACGATCCGATAGCTAATAGGAGAATATGTTTTCTAGGAACATTATTATTTCTAGCTGGTAACTTTAAAAAGTGAAATCTTGATACATCCATGAGATGCATTCAGCTGCATCTGTTGCGAATAAAAGAACGCACCTCTGGCATATTGTAAAACAGGTCTTAAGCCCGTATCAGACTACAGATTGGGTATTGAAATAAAATTAAATTTGGCCCATCAGTACAAAGTTAACTGAACTCAAATTTAGTGAAATTTAGTGAACTCTGCACTGATTGGTCAAACTTCAATTCAATCTCAATCTTCAATCCATAGTCTGATACGGGCTTTAGAAATCCGATTCTCTTATTGTAAACATCTTCTGCTAGTTGAAATAAAGTTTTAGAACGCAGCTCTGACGGCACACAAAGTGAGAACTACAAAAATCAATAAATTCACTAGATGTTGACAAATGAAAAAATAAATGTACTAATAAATTTGCGCATTTAATAACTTCTACTTTGTTTTGAAATTCACGTTCGACCTGATTGGTTAATTAAATGTCACTCTACCCATGGAATAGGGTTTCCGCAGCTTAATTTGGTATGGGTGACAGAATTCGCTATTCCTGCGAAGGTGTAGGAGACTTGCAATTCAGCGACCCAAAACCACAAATGAGTGAAGTGACCAATTCGCCGTTAGCTTATGGTTGACAACTTTGAGTGATGTCGCAGATAAAGTTGGTTTGTCATAAAATCTTCTAACAATTTTTCTGCGAGTCTTCAAGTTTATTGAACAATTTACGTCGTACTCCGATATAATGGTAATATAATTATTTCTATGCTATAGTTGATACTCTTAATCAATGAATTTATCATATAACCTATACACAGTGTTTGGTATTATCACTATGAATATTATCACTAAACAAGTTTAAACTCATTTCTTCTATTATGAGATATTTTATCGTCATTATAAATAATAAATAACCGTACAAAATATAATGATTAACATTTTGTTGCCGTTAATTTAAATGAACATATATTATGTTTGACATTATATTTCATTAATCTCTTTGTTTTAATCACCGATGAATATTCATCAGAGACAAACTAATGTAGTTTTCGTTGGGCAGTCTGCCATCTTTAATTTTCAGAGTCTACTCACAGTAATATTATTGCTGATATGTACCTGTACCTATATCAGATCACTAGTACCAAACTTATTTGATAAACGCTTAGGAAAAGTTGGGTAAGTAAACATGCTTTTAAATATATAGATGTTATTAAAATATACATAACAAGAATACATAATAAGGATAATATATATATATAACAAGAATAATATATTTATTTTCATTGAATTGTTCACAGATTTCAGGGTACTTTTTGGAAATGTGCTAGGATTGGTGAAAGAAAAAGTCCATATGTGTCTGCTTGTTGTATATTTATGGCCTTTAGCATTTTATTTTGGTCGTAACATTCCCACAATATTTCGTCTACTTAACCAAAAATGTGGTACATTATGCATATTTCATTTTACCTCGTAATGTATTTATGTATGAAGGATAGAAGTGAGAATAAAAAGCAATTTTGATATTCATCAAACGACAAATCTCTATATTTATCGCTTTTTGGTAATACATAAAAATACACTCGTTTAAGCTAGACTTAAAGTCAAAACGAACGTCATTTCTCTAAATGCATGATATTCTTTTTTTTCTCTTATTTGTCAACACGTTTCATTTTTTCCAAAGCTATATTATCCAATTTGAGCATATTTTCTCATTGTATTCTTGTAATATATTTTTTTTGTTCTATAAACAACAACATTCTTTTAATATAGTTATTGTAGAGTTATTATATTGAGCATTTTGTGATATACAGAGTTCATTATATAGGTACATTTAACATATTTTTGCTCCGCGTGAGATATGCTATTGTCTTTGTGACAATAAACCACGCAATATAACTAAGACTTGTATTCCATACTCGATGGACATTATAGCGTTATTTAAGATAATCGAATCGTTCATTCTTTTTTACCTCAACTTTAACATCCTAATGCCTTTCCCGAATTCCCTCCTTGTTGTGACCGTCTTAGTTACAGAACAAGATATGGTTCGTAGTTTTGCGAGGAACATCAACTAAATGGCCTTTGTAACGACGCTAGAAATTATACAGCGTACAAGAGCATTTGTTGTCAATTCCTGATAATTTTACATATAATATATATATATATATATATATATATATATATGTGTGTGTGTGTGTGTGTGTGTGTGTGTATTTATTTATATATGTGCATATTCCATTATATTTATCATTCACATCATCGTCATCACTGAAATGTACATACGTATTTCTCAAGATGGCAGTTGGTTACATCCTATATAAAAACGTATGACAAAGCTGATTTACTTAGTGCATCTTATTTAAAAAGCGATATATATCGGTCATTCCTCGCAGTAAATCACTTATGCTATACCTATAACGTGGTCACGCACGATCACCGACATGTATGATATAAGTACAATATTTGTCTACGAATAATTTGAAAAAATACACAAGATAACCGAGGTATGATATCTAATATCTTCCTAAAGTGTTCGGTAAAATGTAATTATCGTTTATATGCTCTTTCTTTTTTTCTACGGATATGAATTTTACTCTGGATATGACATGATGACGCTCGCTAAGATGCCAAGTACAATATCTCGTATTCGCTCATTTACATCACAACCCGAGTCGAAGTTTTAGTTCTACATTAAAACTGTAAATTCCGTCGAAATTGAAGCATCAGTGGAATCTCCAAACATTACATTATACAAATTATTATTCTACTTTGATATTATAGATGATTATTTATCGACATTTTTTCTATTTGAATTATGTTTAAAGCTCTGAAGTAATCGCTATGACTCTCCTTATTTAATGACGTCAGAAGCGAGAAAACGCATGCCAAAATTTTTCGTGTTATATTTTCAAATAAAAAAAATGTATCCATAAAATGACATTTGTGATCGATTTAAAAAACTTGTAAAATTGGACGAACGCTTTACTTTTACACGAACAATTAATAAATAGTCGTAAGATTAACATTGACAAAATTATGAGAAAAGAGGTTGGAAAAGAAGGTTCCGTATCAAATTAATTTTAAGACTACTTATTAATTGTTCAAGTAAAAGGAAAAGTGTTCGTCCAATTTTACAAGCGTGCTGAACCGATCACAAATGTCATTTTCGTAGATATATCTTTTTATTTTTTGCAGTTGAGTTAATTACGTAAATACTATAAGTAAATACTACAGTTGAGTAAATTATGTAAATAATACAATTATTTACAATTATAGTTTACTGAGACTATCAATAAAGATTAAATGCAAATAAAATATTAATATAAGCAAATATTAAATCATTTTGAAGTGTCTTTTTTAGACTTATCATGAAACAAACAGTAGAAAGTCAGTATTTATATTATCAAAGACAATAGCTTGCATATCGTTATGTCTCGAGATTCTCCATTGGTCCTTCAAGTTTGACAGAATTTACCGAGTTAATGAGAACGGAAGAATTTCGACTCGGAAACGAACATATTATCATCTTATCTTTTCTTACATACAAATTAGTATGCTAATTATTTGTCTGCGTTTGGGTACGATCGCGCAATTGCTCGAAAGGGTCGCGTGATGATTCATCGACGAGAAGACGTATTACAAACGTGGCAACGTAACGGATGCTCGTTTTAATAGGAATCACAGCCGTCATTGTGGGACATGACGGGACCGCGACGGAAAGATCGCGGGGTGTTCGCGATCGTTGAAAAGCGGTCATCAACCAGTTGTAAAGCATACGCGTACACACGCGGTTCCTCCGTCTCGTCAATGACGGCGACGGTTCATTCGAGATGGACACCCTGCATGTATATAAGGCTTTTGAGAGATGCTAATGTTATAAAATCACCCCGAGTCACCTATTAATCCCACGAAAAAGAAACAGAGAGTGTGAGAGAAGTAATCGCCCCTTCTCCCCTCTCGAATGAGAATAATGAAAACCACCTGGTCTCTCGCGTCCTCTCTTAAAGATATACCCGGATAACATTATGTCCAGTCCAACCTAAAAGCACATTCCGCACTTTTCCTTCCCGAACAACTCCCGCACATTAGCAACGGATAAAAGGGTCATAAAAAATACATTCGTAAGCGTCTTTCCGTAAAAATCCGCGACGGTTATCTCGGGCGGCATTCGCGCGCATTAGTGAATCGAACTTCACCCTTCTTTGTTCATCTGTCCGTCCGCGGTCTCTCGCGGGTCCTTACGATTTCTCGTCACCTCGCTTTCCTAAGAACATCAATCTAGCTAATTAAACCGAGCATCAGCTGGTTCTTTCATCAACCCTTCTCCCCCACGTCGTCCTCGTCTCCGTCCTCGTCGTCGTCGCCGCCGTTCGAAAATCATTCCTCGCGTTACGAGAAAACTCTTCGTGACTTTCCTCTTGCTCATCTCGATCGTCCCCTCGGATCGATGAACACGGGTCCCACGCTGACTCGCGGAATAATTCTCACGACGGAAAGTCGTCGGCGTCGGCGTTGTCATTGTCATCGTCGTCGTTCACTTTTATCGCACCGTGGAGAATAATATCAAGCAGAGCGGCAAGACGATCTGCTTGCTGCCAGTAACGAGCGCGGGCGCGTCACTACGATCCTTGAGATTCTGTTTGTCGTTGTTGCCGTTGTGCTTGAAAACGTTACCGTGGTCCTTAATTAAGGGCGCGCGCGGGTCCGCGGTCGTCGACGTAGTCGCGTATCTGTTGTTGTAGATCAATCGCGCGGTGCTCTTCTGCATCGCCGGCGTGCTCACTTGCTGGTGGAAAACCCGATTGACCATCGCCCCTTGCCCGGACTTTGACTTTCCTCGGTTCAGTCGCTTCGAGTTGGTCGGGGTGACGCGGCTGGATTCGGTCGGCCGCTCGATCTCTGCAAGTATATTAACGTGAATTCATTGACAGTCCGACGAGCTGTCAGAAACGCTTTGCCTCTCGAACAGTCGCGGTCTCGTAAGACTCACGCGATCGACTCGCATCTCTCTCTTATCAAAAACTGCCCAAGTTACATATTCATTCAGCTTTACGCATATACGCGAATATACGCATACGTGTATACCCACACACGATTACCCACCATAAACTCTGAGGTTCGCCTCGGCTTTTCCCATGCTTGAGGAGGCCGAGCACGTGTATTCGCCCAGATCCATTTTCTCCAAGCGCCTTATCTTCAACACGATCGTTGTCTTCCATTCCTCCTCGGGATCGCCCCGCTCATCGATCTCGTATCTACCTCTGTATTAATATATCACTTACGCTCAGTGTCCGCGATAAAGGAAAATAGATTCCGCCATTCGACAGCTCGCTAGAATAACCGAATCGCGCAGGGATCGATGTCCCCGGAATCACGAAAATCGGTCGGTCCGGAAGTGATTTAGCAAGAAGCGGAACGACGGCGGAGAACATTTTGCCGCCCTTATCACCGAGCGAGATTGTCGAACAACGGTGCAAATCAGCCGAGATTGCCTATAGCAAATTGTCAATATTGTTCTAGTACGTACCCGTTCATGATCACTTTCTCCTTTCGCATCCACAAGTTAATCGTCTTTGGATAAGCTTCGATCAAGCACACTAACGACACGTTCGTGTCCAGCGGCGAGCTGAGCAACTGATTCGGTGCCTTCGCGCTGGGTGGGACTGCAAGCGCACCGACGTGTAGAGAAATCAGAGAGAAAAAAAATCGATATTATCCGATGTCGTCGGCTCGTTCGTTCCCGAGTAGAAATTTAAAACGAGAACTGGAAAAGCCCTACATAATTTTTCCCACTTGTATCTAAGTCCTATAAAGGCTAACCCACTTGGGTTTAAGTTAATCCCATTTACACAGAAATGTGATGTTTGTACAAATTAGGGCCAAATTCGTAAATCTAATTAAGCCCTATCTTGGCATACTTAAGTCTAATCCTATTTTGATACGTCTGATTAAGCCATATCTTGTTATGTTACCAATTTATAAGAAAATTAAAATACGGAATATTTTAGTTACACCGAGAAAAATTTCCATCGGATTAACCAATTAAATGATCTATGAAATGAAATATCTGATTGTTAATTTTATTGTCCGATTAAGTAATGAATACTTTTATCCGATGAAATATCCAATGAAGTTATCGATGAAACCCAATCAGAAAATTAGTAGCCCTTTGTATATCCGTTGTAATTTTCATTGGATAAAGGCATGACCTGATCGAATGAAATGATCAGACATTGCACTTGATCGGATATGTCTGTTTGTTATTTTTTAATTGGATTATCCAATCAGATATGATTGTATATTTTTCTTGGTACATTTATAGTAGAGTTATAGTTTGTGCGAAAAAAAAGACAATGAGTAAAATGGGCCGATTTTAGCTCTCGGAAGTAAAAATAGTATATATATATATATACCAGTTATATATATATAAAACCAGTTGCGGGAGATCCATAAATGCACAAAATTTAAGTATACCATGCAAACCTACCCAATAAACGCATTACGAGCACTATGCGACGGTTAATTTCGTATCCATAATTAACGTAAGAACAGCTAGGCACGCAGTTTGTCCACATTCTTTGCAAGAAACAATAATTTTGAAGCCTAAGCTGCGCTTACTCGCTTTACTAAATTTTACGTCTTTTCTGCACTTTTTACACACAACCACTTCAGCAATAGCAGCAAAAACAGTGAGAAAGTCAAACAATACCCGATTTCATTATTCACTTCTACTTTATAGTTGTTCCTGGATGTGTTGTGTTTTGAGCAGACGTGCTCAAGTTTTCGGGATCTTCTTCTTTTTCGTATCGATTGTGCGGACGTCTATTTGATATTTTACTCCTTTTTGTAACTATAGTGGTAGTCTTAGTACCATTTTTTCTAGCATACACCTTTCTTTTTTCACTCATGATCATTAAGAAGTTCGAAATAAAAAATTGAAGTAAAATATTCACGAGTATTCTAAACAGAAAACAAAGCGTCTTATTACATCCGAGCGGCGTGATTTTGACGGTTGCACTAAAGCCACTCTACTATATTTTAAATAATATAGACTACTAGATCCGTATTAATACTTAGTAATACTAAATATTGGTAGAAAATATCTGTTGAGTTGATTGGCTGCGCGGCGCACCGAAACTGCCGACTTCTAAGTCGGCACAGTGACGCGCTGCACAAAAGGCGTCCAAAATCGACTTTTCAAATTTGTTCTTGCTATAAGACCTATTGCTTCTTATTTTTAAGGTGTCATTTAAACATAACCAAAAAATATCGATTTTCTGAAATTTCTAAAGTGGTTTTATCTCTTAAGATACTTTTGATGATTACTTACGTTAATCTATTATGTGATATGTTATACATAGTGATAAATTACATATAAAATATATATATAAGAAAAGAAAAAACAAAACATTGCGAAAAATTAATGAAACAATTATTCTTGTTCAGGACCAGTCTCACTGTCAGCAATATCATTCTAAAAGAAATATTTTACATGATAAAACATGATAGAATAAATATGATACAATAATGTTTTACTAACAGGAAAGCACGAATGAATTCGTTCGCAAAGCTTAATAATAATAATTTACGGTAGTAGATGTTTAATAACTTCATATGCTAATTTTAATACTTTTCTGACAAATTAATATTTTCTTAAAAGTCAGAATCAAATTCAACAATTCAAAAATGACAAAAAACGTACCGTTTTTATTTGCCAGTCCGGGTGCTAAAATTGGTCCATTTTACCTAAATCGTTCTTTTTACTTAAAGAGACACTGAACCTTTGAACATGTGAAAATATCGCTATGGTAAATTACTTGTCACAAATTATTCGACAAATATAAGTAAATTTACACTTTAGTAATAGTT